CTCAAAAAATAAATACCTAAAGAACAATTTGTAGTATTATTTTTGTCTGTGTGATCGATATAGAATGTAAACAAATCTACCATTTTCATTAAATATATTTATATTACTTATTTACTTTAAAGTAGGAAGATGGAACTATTCGACAATTTCACCCAAACTTGACTTATCTGAGGGTGTATACAAACTCCGCATTTTGCATATATATCACTCAAATTCGGATCACATTATCTAACATATTTCGTGAGACCAATTCCTTCAAGCTGAGATATAGAAAATTTCATGTCTTCTTTAACATTTTCGAAGCGTGTCCTAGATCCTGACATCTTACCAATACTCAATCTCTACTTCTTTGTTCAATCGAAGTCGTAAATTCCTCTTCTGAAGGCTTTATGCCCACACTCGACAGGTGACATACGATCGGCCGCATTTCCAACCACGATTGCGTATGCAAAACCTATATGCATAAAAGTCATCACTTCAAAGCGCAAGAAGTGTCACCATAAAGGTTTTATCCACGATGTGAAAATGGAGAGGGACTTTGGACCGCTAAAACGTATGAGTAGAAGTAAGGGCGGCGGGAAGGGAGCATTGTGAGAAAACAAATAGATAAAAGCAGTAGGAGAGGGATCCTATGAATTTGTCCTACGTGTAATCTGAACGTTCAACAAAATCCTCTTCATAACCTTCTCGTTCTTTCGAGAAAGCAGCCGACATCACAATTTTATGAGAAAATCATAAAATTTTCAGGCGGTTTGATTTTAGGGATGCTTTGCCCCTTTAGAGGTGCTCTGAAAGGCCGAGGATTCGATAGCGTTTATATTGCCCGTATTTCTCCACGCTCTTTTCACTTTCTGATTTATCATCTATATTCTGAAATTTTGTAGTCTCTGCCCTGTGTCACATGTAAGTTTCTGAAAAGCTGTGGAAAAAAACTAATTTTAACATGATAATATAGACTTAATTTTACGAGAGAACAAATAACGTACCTATGTTGGTTTTAATGAAACTGCCAAAAAACATCAAAACTTCTTATATAAATTTTAATTTCTTTAGACACCCATCAATAAAATGTACCTTGCATTAAAATTATGACACATTTGTAGTTTCTGAATTATACACACGGATATTTTACAATTTTCGTTCTTTATGATTTAACTCTAAGTGCGTGGTGTTATCATTCAGAAACTGATTCTGTTATAGAAAATACATTGATAATGACTATCGTTTAATCTATAAATAATGTATTGATGGCTAAAACCAAGCGTATTTTAAATAACTATCAAATATTAACACACTCAAAAATGAACCTAAAAAATTAATAAATGAAATTCTATTTATGACACTAAGTGCTTGATGAAAATCTACTTTTTTTACGAGATTCATTCTATTCAGTGTATTAGCAAATATCAACGTTACATACAAATGTTTTATCTGTATGAAACAGGTTAGTTGAAAACTAAAATCCATCGTTAATAGAAATGAACTTAAGGATGAAATTTTACTATAACATGAATTGTAGTTTTTGAGAGAGTTATTTGTAATATGATCACCGAATGATTTTGTTCAGTGCCAGTATTGCCTCAGTCATTGCAGCGACTCCGACCACCCGGTCTTACAGTTCGAGCCCCGACGGTGGCAGACTATCTAAATAGCTACGTCAAACTCGGGGCCTGATTGGAGGAGAATTCTAGATGTTCTGATTATCCGATCAATACGACAGGCGAATGCAGGAGCAGTACACAAACCGGCCACGGATGGAGCACCATGTTTTCTCCTCTGCCTTGTCCTGTCATATCCCGTCACTCCAGGCTGGGACGGTGCCCCATTGGGGTGGGGGGAAATCTTGAGAGAAATTCTCCCGCTAGCCGACGATCAGATATCCCCTCCCAGCGGGTGGAAGGCAACCGCCCCCTCCAGGCACGAAAACATGCACTACACTGACGGAACTAATTATCATAGCTGTTACCATATCCGGACACTATCTAGTATGATGAATACGCAAAAGGACAACATAGTGAGCTATGACACATTGTTTTACTATCACTGACTGGCAAGCTGCTTTATCATGTATTTTTAATTGGTCTCGGGTAATTGATCTCTTTTCACTAAAATCTTCACTTCGGTAAAGAAAGAGATAATACTGAATATTCATTAAAACAATCTGAAGTAAATTTATTCGACAACAATTACAAAAGGTATTTTTCCATGAAATCTTCATTTACACTGTCCCTGTTCACATGCATAATAAATGTTTTCACAATCTACCCCATCCTACTCTTTATATTCATCCATAATAATTTTCAGCATGCTCCCCTATATTTTTCCAGTTTGTAGTTGACACCTTAACATTGTGAGAAATGTATTTATAGCACTTCATTGAATTTAAGTCACTGAAGCTCATTTTTAGTGGAAATAGATTCTTATTTAAGTAACCCTTTGTCTAAGACAACACATATTCAGTTGGATTGAACATGCTATAATAGGGAGTAAGCCTTGAAACAGTATGCTCTTCAGCTCCCAGCATTTCATCAACTACACACCTGTGGGTAATTACTTTTAACACTTCGAACCAATTAATTTATACAATAAATGCTTAAAACATTTGAATACATATATATATATATATATATATATATATATATATATATATGAAGAGGAATAAGAAAAGATTACAATAAAAATGACAGAAAGCAAATGAATTTACCATACCATATATCCTGAAAATAGATATGTATTTTTAAAATGTTCTCATTTTAGAATTTAAAAATTAAAATAAAATTAGCTCAGCCATCGAAGGTTGATAGACTAATTAATTTGTGTAGACTTATCTGCAAATCATTTCTAGTTCTTTTGTTAACATATCAATAAATACCCAGAAGAATTATATTTGTAAAAAGAGAACTAAAATAAAAGTAAAAAGTATAAAAAATGTACCTATAAAAATACTAATATGCAAGCAAATGATTAACACATGTATTCAAAAACACGCAGTTAAAAGGGGCCATAATATGTAGGTCAACACCCCAATAATACATTCCCCCAAAATTAAAAGAATACGAATCTAATGAACATAATTTAATAAGCAAATAAAGTTTTTCCCAAATTTTATGATGAATTCATGAAGAATAATTGATATGGAAGATTAATAATGTCTAGTCGATGATATCTTTTTAGAAATTAAAATGAAAATATATAATATCACAAAATACTAATAAACAAATTAATTTAAAGTTAATATTAATAATAATAATAATAATAATAATAATAATACAAATAAAATGGAGATCAAAAATGATTGTGTACACATTTTATGTTAATGTGTGCAGAGCTATCCTCTTATTATATCAATTCATATTTAAAATAATTATTTTATTAGCATCTATGCATTAATCATGTTTTGCAACCCAATTAGTGACATCATCTGGAATACAATCAGCTTAAAACTTGGAATAGCATTACAAAAAAACCAAAAATTAAAATAGAATTACAATAGAAATTTTTAACATATTGTCCAAGAAATACGAACTGTGGTCGTAATAAAATCTCTAATGTCATAAAATTTTAAATCTATAAGAACGAAGCACATTTCGGACAACTATCCACCATTGTTTACACAAACTATCCACCAAATTGTTTACCACAAAACTATCCACAATTGTTTACACCAAACTATCCACAATTGTTTACGACAAACATATCCACAAATTGTGTTACACAAACTATCCACAATTGTTTACACAAACACCACAATTGTATTACACAAAACTATCCACATTTGTGTTACACAAACTATCCACAATTGTTTACACAAAACTATCCACAATTGTTTACACAAACTAGTATCCACAATTGTTTACACAAACTTCCACAATTGTTTACACAAAACTATCCACATTGTTTACACAAAACTTATCCACAAATGTTTACACAAATATCCACAATTGTTTACACAACTATCCACAATTGTTTACACAAACTATCCAAATTGTTACACAAACTATCCACCAATGTTTCAAAAACTATCCACAATTTGTTTACACAAACTATCCACAATTGTTTACATAAACTATCCACAATTGTTTACATAAACTATCCACAATTGGTTACATAAACTATCCACAATTGTTTATATAAACTATCCACAAATGTTTACATAAACTATCCACAATTGTTTACATAAACTATCCACAATTGCTTACATAAACTATCCACAATTGTTTACATAAACTATCCACCATTGTTTCAAATGCCAGGTTTAAAAATTCAAAAACAAATCATGCGATGTGAATACCACACCAAAATGCCAAATTCAATAAAGAATTGTCATTATGCTTCCAAGTGTTCAAGAGTGCAATTTTAAGTGTTGGTAGAAAATGAAACAAATGAAAAAGATTCAACCCTTAGCTACAAACAAATGTTACTACAGCATGCACGCCAAAACAGATTATTTCATTGACACTTGACTCCCTGAACTGGACCTTTACTAAACAAAGTGTTACTAAAAGTCCCTTCACTAATCTCGCGATTTTCGCAAAGTTGGTATAAATCACTTTCTCTGGGACCATTTGAGCCTGAAAACTTGTAGATACTGAGACCATTCTCGATTTCTGAGATCATACGTTTCTCGGACGCATGGGAAACTCTACAGAGAAGGCGAGCATCAAAAGGGATATTAATGAGTTCGGGGCTCCTTAAATGAAATTTTGAGTAATATCACATAAAACAAGTGCAAACACAATCCCTTCATACTTAATATAATTAAAAAGCACATGTTACAAATTCCAGTACCGTATTTAAGTCTACCGTTGCTTGTGATACTATGCAACTTAAAAAAGCAAACAGCAACATAACCTCACACAATAATTAAATACTCAATATCCTCTAATGCAAGAAAAGACGTGTTGTGAAGTGAGAAGAGTTCTTATCAGTCTTCCACACCCAAAAGATTTGTAGTAACTGATTTCAAGTCGCTCACGATATTTTCTCCACGGATAACTCACCGTGTCCTCACCAGTCGTAGGATGTGCTCGCGAGTCTAACTCCCGAAAGCCGGGCATCTTTCCATTCCCGAACTCGTTTGGCGCGGCCGTGTGGTAACTGGCAGGGAACTCCGCCCAGCCGCAGAATTTGAAAAAAAAATACCTCCTCCCTCGTGAGGTCGCGGGTCGCGTTGCAGCAAAGGGAGCAGCTTCCTCGCGTGGCCTCTGTCTCGACGCTCCACCCTTGGTCTCAGTTCAGTCTCGCAGCCTCACACTCCGCCGTCCGTTCACCTCCAATCTCACTAGCCGAATCACCTCTTCGCACTCCCCACCCCAACCGACTGACAGTGTTTATTCCTTGGAATCAATGGCCGGCGTGAGTTTAGAACTCACTAGACTAGGTGGCGTTGTCCACTTAGGCGGCGATCGCGCGGCCATTTCAATTTCATGGTGCCCCTCTGACGTGAGCGGCACTACTTAATTGGTCACACAAATAATACTGTTGTTTTCTGTGCCGACAATAAGCCTTTCATGACTTCTGCTTCAACATTGTAACTCGTTGGAGAAGAATAAAAGATTTAGATTGTACATGCAAACGTTTTATTGACACGTTTTTAACGATTTATTTCTATAAAGAAATTATCAAAAGCTGTTATTGAAACGAAATAGTTCTTAACACTTTTGGGATAGCATTAAGATGACTCGTGAGCAGCCTCGTGTTGCAGCAATGCTAACCTGGTATAAAGAATCAGCAATCTGGAATAAACAATTCCGTATCAGCACTTACAAGATTTAGAATCTTGTTACAAACGTTAAATACATCAAGAATGATTATGTATGTCACTTGCTTTTTTATTCTTGCACTTTTTTATTGCCTCGTGGAGACAAAACCAGCTGATTTTGTAGCTTCAGCTCTGGCTTTACCGCGCGGTAGCTATACATTTAAGAGTAAACACTGCCTCGGTTTCAGATTTTTACTAATCCACTGAATTTTATAAATCTTGAGGTGAAACTTCTTCCTTGTAATGACTAGCCTTGGCACGGTTTCTGTGATGCGAGCCCTTTCGACACCACTACTTTGGAATTTCCGCATATAACTAAATCTAAAGAAACTAAAAGTCACCAACTTTTAAACGAAAAATATTCTCCAAATTTTGAACACACGGCATGATCTGTCCCTGACAATTCCATTGGCTGTCCCCTTAAAATCAACCTCTCATCGTTCTCCAACCTCCTCAAAGCCGTGTACTATCTTTGTTTCCGTCATGTTTTCCTTTCTCTATGGCTGTTTTTTTTATTTAAGGTCGCATCAACTTCTAGGTCATTAGCGACCACTATTGCCTGTAACGGTATGGTAACTATGAGGATGACACGATATGATGATGATGATAGGGGGTGAAAGGACGAACACAATACAACCATGCCCCAGGCGGAACTCGAACCCGCGATCCTTCGGTACGAGATCGCTACAGCATCACTGCCTTAGCGATCTCGGCCATCCAGACCGGCACTAAGGCTCTTTATTTTGCTCTTTATGATACATAAAAATGAGGGCGACAGTAAGGACTCTTGATTTGCCAGACGGTGGACATCAAACGGAGGATCAAATTCGGCTTAAGAGCTCATTTAATAATAGAGTAATGCTGTCAACGGAATTTATTAAGACAAAAGGCATTTACATATATTTATATTGAGATGCTGTTTTGTAGGTTGGGAAAAAAATTTACAACGAAGATGCAATAGTTTTGCGGTCCGACTTCTCACTCTAAGTAAAACACTCAGACATGATTGTTTTCAAAGCGTAGCCAATTTTCAGTATTTAAGAAGCCCACTAGCCGAGTTCGATCAGCCTAATTACACTAAAATGAGCGGGGTTATTTTATTCAAGAAGGAAAAGTCATGGGCGTTTATGCGAGGGAAATGGTAACCGAACAGTCATTGTCAAAAGATAGGCAAACATTCAGTTTAGTATTAATTAATTGGATTGTTGGTGAAGTAGATACCTTTTTTATTTTGATAAATAAATAGAGATATTGTCAGATATATCTTATTCTTCGTTATGTGTCAGAAATAGAGAATCATAAAAAAAGGATATTACCTGAGGCCGGGGGGGGGGGGAGCTCGGGTAGACCTTGGTCCTCGGAAACCTGACTCCCGTAGTACAGAACCACCCGCATCCCTTGAGGGACACTTAAGTCATTTAAAAGTTTGTGAGTGACCACGACAATATGTTTATATTTACTACATTTATTTAGTCATTTATTCTCGTACTTAGAAAGAAAATGGACTTTTTTGTGTTGCCGACACTTGAATTGCAATTTTGTAATCTTTTGTATATGAAACACCTTCTTTAGTGTAGGTTTCGCTACTACAGAAACAAAAATTCATAAAAACTATATCTCACTCGAATGGTTTTTTTTTCAATTTTTCATAAGATGGCGAATAACTGTCATACGCACCTGTTGCGTTCATGACTACACGCTTGCGGTAGTAAATACTATAAACCATCACCAACTAACTGCAAACTAGCACTACCAACTAACATCAAGGGCGAGCCATGTCATCAATGAAGCCTCAATAATGCTTCAACACGAATATCTACAAATCTGGAAAGCAATGACTGCCCATCGCTCTTAACGCATCCCACTTTCTGAGTGCAGCAACCATGTCAATATTCTGAAATCCATTTGCGCGCAATATGCCCGCATACGCGATTTACGCGGAACTCAGCGAATTGTCATCGAGCGCGCATTTGTTTTGATGTGACTTAGGATTCAGTAAATGATCCGTTAACGCAAGTTATTAATTCAAAGGCGAAAATAGTTCCTCGAAATGTTTGTCAACCGATAATCAATTAACTATATATTTTATGTGAGTTTGATTAATTTGTTCTGTAGACCAAGAAAACAAATAAATTTTCTATTATTTATTACTTTCATTTACTGTAATTAAAATATTATATACACACAAGATGCATTTTCAAGAATTCGTGTTTGTTTTTTTCATTTCTGGTACCGTACATATTTTTTTTACAAATGCCGGACGTTGTAAATAATTTACGACTAATTGTGAATAAATATTACAAGTTATGTTTCAGAAATCATTTGAAAAGTCAGTAAAACACAAATCAACAAACTGTTATAAACTGCGTCACTTTTTCTCGTGGTGGTTCTTGGACTCGTAAGACTCAAGTGGGTTGGGGGACTTATAATGCTTTAGAAACTCTGTCTTAATAAAACTATGACTCATATTTTAAAATACACTTTTAATAATTTTATCTATCAATGAAAGTTACGCAGTTGAATGTAGTATAAATAATTATTCACCAACAAATAAATATAAAATTTAAATATATCATATATGAAAAAATCTTAATAATTCGATATCTTCAAATATACCGGTACCACGAATGAAAAATCTTTTATCTTTCTCAATAAGAAAACATTCTATAGTCCATATAGACCAAAAGTCGACTGAACACTACAGCAAAACACCTTCCCTCTGTATGAAAAACACACGTTGCGTCACTGACTCATGGTTATTCCCATGTAAATATCATTCCCGTTATGTCGGTATTGTCGTCAATGTGAGGGCTGTTTGTGTACTTTGCAGGTGCGGTTGACTGCGCCAAAAGTGAGCTGTAGCGCGCAGTTTGTGTGCTGTTGTGGGAATAGTACACAGTCATGTTTAACAATACATTCACCTATTACCGTGCCGTTTCCTGCCATTGAAACCCATCCACCCATCCCTAAATTATTTACATTATCCGCTGAAAGTGTGTTAGATATGTTGAGCGGACAGTTGTATTTCGCCTCCCTCCACCTCAGAAAGCTGCTCGCGTTTCCTCGCTTACCTAATGATGATAAACGACCTCTTACGGGCAGAGTTTCCGCGAAGTATCTGTATACTCGACGTCCTTTAAAGCGCGAGCAAGATACTGCGCATGCGCAGTAGAGCCATCTACGCCCACTATAGCTGTTCAGAAAAAAAAAACATGAGAGCTTGGGATTGTAGTCGCACAGCAGTTTGTTAGGTCTACATTACTAATGTGTTTCATTATTTTTCTTTTAATCTTCCTTATACGAAATGGTAATGTATTTTTTGTGTGAAGATGCCTATCAAAAAGCTAGGAAGTCGATGTGTTTGAGACGGCATTCAGTGAAGCCGTCACCCTCTTCAACCCAATATGTAGATTAATCGCGCTAAGTTTACGCTTCAGGCAAGTACTGATTTGGCTATGAAATAAATCTAAACTGGCTTAGGTGGCTCAGGGCGCCAATTGATTTCACTGCAGCTCCTCTGACAGAGGGTCTACGTTTTGAATCCCGATGATGAAAGGATTTTCGGCACTAGTTAAATAGCTGAGTCGAGATTAGCCACTCACTGGAAGAGAATCCTAGCGGCAGGCTGATCTGATCGGTAGTTTTCCGTGGTTTCTCCAATCAACACTAGACAAATACCGGAGGAGTATCCTAAAAAACAGACCACAGCTTCGCGCAATCTTTCCTTCCCCTTCCTAGTAATGTCTTTGCTTTCCTTACACTTACATCCACATGCACTACACATCCATACATACAGGGAATTCAGTCGGGAGCATAGAGCATGTCGCTTTACAGCGGTGCCCCACTGGTGAGAGACACCTGGATGAGGAAAATCCCGCTAGCCGGCCTGTAGGTCTGCAGCGGATCTCGTCATTTAGCTGGATAAGATCACCGCCGACTCCTACGATAAAAATATCCACTACACTCGCGTGACTAAGCAGTCAATGAATCAATCAAATGGACGTGTCCATTGCTGGCGGCGGGAGTGCGGAGCCTGTGCAGGGGTTCCAAATTTGATCAGTGTGCATAGTAAAAAATTGGGAAATACCTTCAAGACTTTGTATTACCAGAGAGCAACATATTTGCGTCAGAGTTTTCCATGTCAACGCATTCAAATTTCAGCTTGCAGAGAACTGTAAACAAATTTGCTGAATCGCGAATGGAGATCGGGCAGTGGCGCACCGACAGCTAACTTCTGAATGTTTCTCCATCGGGCCCATTGTCAGTGTACTCTCACACACATATTCTTGGGCTCTGGTTTATGTACTTCCAAGTTATGTCGATTTTAGTATTTATTTCAAGAAATTCGATATTTACAATTTTGTCCTGCTATAGAGAGATTACTACAGGAAGGGACCGCTTTGACAATTACTGCTTGGACACTGGTGGCATTATAACTGCAAGATATGCGCAAGCAATCATTTTGTCAGTGCATTCGTTTACAGGTAGCTCTTTAGTAAATGGCTTCATCACTATCTCTTGCA